GGAGACACTTCCCCCTTTCATTCCCACCTGTAGGCCTAATCAGTTTTCTGGTGTGGCCTCTGCTTCCTCTGAGCAACAGAGAGCAAACCGCCTCCGCTGTCATGTCCATTTTGCCTCATAGTGTCCTGCCGAGAGTTGCCAAGGCTCTGAATCTCAAAGGGAGGGGACTGCCCGTTTTTCTCTCATAGCAACTGGTAGATTTGAACTGCTGATCTTTCAGTTAGTTTAAGAAATATGCTCTGAGAGATCCCCTGCAGAAAGCAAGAGATAATCACAAATCTGTTGCTGTCAAATACACCCCAATACACAGAGACCAATAGGACAGAATAGATTCCACATAGGGTTTCCAATGCCATTATCTTCATGGAAGCAAATTGCTGTATCTTGTGTGAACAACTGGTGGGCTTGAACCAACAACCTTTTTGTTAGAGGCAGAGCACTTTAGCCTCTACTCTAACTAGAGCTAATTGATTAGAACCCCAAAACCAAATCATTTGGCATCCAGTCCCTTGTGACTTATACTCTCATAGCAACTGGTTAAGGCATTTTGCTGCTCATGCTATCATTACTCACCATCCTGCCATCGAGTTCGAATCTGGTCATAGCTGATACGCCGGCACATAGTCAGAGACTATAAAGTGCACTGGAAGAGAAACATCTGTCTTTCTAAAAGGAAACATTCCCTCCTGCGTTAGCAGTGCAACACTTCAACTCATTGCTATCAAGTTGGAACCAACTTATAGCTGACCCTCCAGTGCATTTTCAGAAGCTGTATATGGCATGGGGGTGGGGAGCTGGGGGTGGGGAAACTGCCCATCTTTCTCCCACAGAGCAGCTGGGGGATTCAAACTGCTTGTCTTTGAGTTGGCAGTGCAACTCTTTACCCATAAGGCCACCAGAATTCCCTAAGTCTATCATAGGCTGTTTGGAAGCAGGAGTGGCATCCACTTCCTAAACAACACCTCTGGAAACTCTAAGAACTTTGATAAATGTCAATTGTTGTAAAGGGACTTCAGGCCTTTTGCTCATAGGGTCGCTATGAGTCATGCTCAACTTGTTGGTACCAAAAACAACGACATCATAGGCTGGTGGATTTAGGGGAGCAGTTGGATCCCTAAGGCAGTGCTGCCAACATAACTAATGGGTTCACATATCATATTTAAAATGCCCCAGTGAAAAATTAACACCATTGTTTTTGTGATTTTAGGACCAAGCAGAACAGACCTTTTGGTCTTCCAAGTCTTTAATCTTTACAGAAGCAGAGTACCAAATCTTTTTTTTTGCAAAGCAACTGGTGAGTTCAAACTCCTGACCTTGTGGTTAGTACTATGCTGTCAGGATTCCTTCGAAAAGTTCTAATAGTTCCATCCAAAAAAAGAAAAGACAAAGATGAGTTGATTTTAATAATATTTAAGCATATATATAAAATAGTAACATCTCTGATAAAAATGTCGGACACCTTTTCTTTTTACTTTGCTGAAACCTTTGTGGAGTTTACAGTGCAGTTGGAGAGAGGGTACAATGGCCACCGGCTGGACACTAGGATACACGTTCTTCAAAGGTCTTCTTTATTCACTCAGCGACCTTATACCCTAAAATGATTGTCTGGCAACTGCGGATAGTCTGGGGGAAGAAAAGGTTGCAGGGCTGGGAAGACATTTCTTGCCTGCGTTTCACGCATTAGTAGTTTCTGGATTTGGTGGTCACGGAGCAACCGCTACAATCTGCAGGGCTCTCCATTTCATACCCTGTGGGGTCAGGCATGTTGATGCGGTGGTGTGGGGGGCACATTTAGGATTCTAGAAGGAATCAGGTCTCCTCCAGGGCCCCACAAAGCCTGTTCCGGTGTTCCGGTGCCTCGCGCCCATCAGGACCTAATGGCTTCCACTGACGCCAGCATCCCCGGAGGGGAGAGCGGTTCCGAGGGCCACCGGGCTCAGGTTTCCTGGACCGGATGGCGGCGCAAGCCCGAGCCCCGCGCGGTGCCAGCGAGGAGGCACAGGATGCGCGGCCCGGAGTGCGCATCCCGGGCATCCGCCCTGCTCGACGCGCGCGCGGCGCAGCTGCAGCAGATCTGCGGGGGCCGCCGCCGCCTCCTCCCGAGCCTGGCAGCCGCTGGAATCTCCGGGTCCCCCCACCCTCCCCGCCGCGTCCTCCCCTGCAGGGGCGGAGCCGTCCATCTGTTATCCGAGACAACCCACGTGGGGCGGTGGGAGGGGGCCCGGCGGCAGAAAAGGCAGAGGCGTTGGTGGTGGTGGGGTGAGGCCAGCGTGAGAGCGGGAGGAAGAGGGGGTAAGGAGAAGAGAGAGGGGAGTCCACGAGAGCCGCCCCGGGAGGGAGCAAGAGCAGAGGAGAGACTACAGAGGACCTGAGCCCACCAGCGAGGGACAGGTAAGAGGGGGCGCAGGTGAACGGCACTGGGAGATGTGTGCGTGGGAAAGAACAGCTCGCGATGCAGCTAGGGCTGCAGAGTGGCGACGACGTAAAAGAGAAAGGAAAAAAAAGCAAAGAAAGCCGGACGGGGTAAGAGGATGAGTAGCAGCGAGGGGAGGCTTGCTGGTGGCGCAGTGGTCAGAGCGCTGGGCTGCTAACTGAAACCCTGGTGGTTGGAAGACGCTCTGCGCGGGGGTGGGGCGGGAGGGCGAAGATGGGCTGTCTGCTTTCGTAAGGATCACAGCCTTGGCAACGCGGGAGGACAAGTCTACTCTGTCCTATAGCATCGCGATGAGTCAGCATCACTTGACACAGCAACAGGCTTTGTTGTTTTTTGCGGTTTTTTTTTTTCGGCTTTTGGGGGGCGAGGGGCTCCTCCGGGAGAGGAAGGGACACGAAGCGAGCGGCTGCTCCTTTAAGGTTGCCAAGGCGACAGCTCTGGCCAGAGCGAGGCGCATTGACGTCAGCACCCACGCTCTGATTGGCCGCGACCCGGTCGTTTCCGGTGGAGCCGCCGCCGAGCCGCTATCGCGGAGTGGAGCGGGGCTGGGAGGGACTTGCAGAGGGAGCTCAGCTCGCTGTCGCCTCGCACCTGCCGTCCCGTGCCCGCCGCCACCTGTGCCCAGGTGAGTCGGGGGAGGCCCGGGCACCCCGAGCCGCCGGTTCTCGCCGCCCCACCGCCCGTTTTGGGGCGCTGGACCGATCCAAGATGGCGTCTCGGGGAGCGACCTGCAGGGGACGGCCGCACCCCCTGCCCCTCCCCGGCCTCCGCGGGAGCCTCCCTGCGGGCCCTGCGCCCCGGCCGAGCCCCCCCGACCAGGGTCTGCACCCCTGAGGCCCCCGAGGCGTTTCCCCGGGAGGGGGTCCTGGGCGGCCCCGCCCCCCACCCGGCGCGCAGCACCCCCACCCCGCGGACTCCCCCGCCGCCCCCGCGCGCCGCGGCCTCTGCGCTGTCCGCCGGGTCCCCCTCTGTGTCTTGGAGAACCCCAACTCGATTCTGCCGGGTTCCTCCATCGTGTGCCCTCCCCGCCGATTCCGCCTGGTCTGGGGACCCCGCAGATCGTGTCCTCCTGGCCATCGTGTCGTCTCCAGCCGTCGTTGGCCCTGTCCTTCCCGCCATCATTGCACCCCCGCGCCATGATGATGGCTCGACCCCCAAATTTCCTCTTTTCCATGTTCTCCCTCCCTTTTCGGTCCCCCCACCCCCGTGACTTCCCAGCTAGAGGAGGGGGAGGGGTCAGCCTCCCTGCATTTTTGTGGCGGTGGCGGTGGCCGTGGCCTAAGTGAAGGACACTTTCCCCGTCCTTCTCCTCGAAAAAACGCGATATTACTCCTCGAGCCCCGGGTTCTCATGCTGCCTGGCGGCCTCGTACCTGGGCGAGCTGGAGAGCCAGCGTTTCAGCAAAAGGGGGGAGGCCAGCCCTTCTGCAAGTGGACACGCAGCCTGGGGCTGGGGGGCGCGCGTGCACAGCTTTGCAAAATATTTCACTATTTCCTTGCATGCAATCCTTCTGGTGAGGAGTTTTATCACCACCGAATTTCCAAAAGAAAAGAGTGGGAGGGATCTTTTTTTTTCCAGGGAGACACAATGAATTTACAGGGTATTTTGCTTGGGAGGGGGAGGAGTAAACGAATTTTGGGGAGTTTAAAAATAAGTATAAATATAGAGATATTTTAGACATTAATAGTCAATAAAAAAAAATAGCACGATTTTGTGGGGCCTGGGGATTCACATTGATACTGCGTTAATCGTGGCCCTTTTATCTATATGCATATGACCAGTGTCTGGAGGGGCTTTTAAATACATTATTCTGTGGTTCCAACAAAAACTATCTCACGTCTTAAACCCTGTTGTCTCATCTGTGCTGTCTGAGGACCTGGAATGATTCCTTTTAATAGCCAAGTTGTCCTGCTGACGTTTCTGAAATAGACCTGAGTGTTTCGAATCAAAAGATCAATATTTCATTCTCAGTGGTCTTCAGAATGATTTGAAATGCCAAAAGATTCTGCTTAATGTATCTTTGTTTATATGGCTGGGACTGAAGGACACAGTCCTGGAAAAGGGACTAGGGAAGATCTAAAGTAAATAAACTTTTATTTTTAATTTTAAGTGCTTCTTTCTGAAATAGCAGCATGATTCTTTTTTCCATGGTCTCTGAGTTACATGCTTGTCTTGGAGCCACTTTTCCCAGGGTCTTTTAATTAATCTGCTTGTTACTGACCTTTATCATGGAAGTTGTCAAAACAAAAGGAGAAACAGTCTAGCACTTTAGAGTCCTACTTATCCTGGTATTTCTTTTTCTTGCCTTTTAAGTGCAGTGGTTTTGTGTATTATATTTGGAAGAGTCTGATTAGTACTGAAGTCGTTTGCAAAGTGAAGTGGCTCCTGCTTTTTTTATCTTTGACTCTTAGTTGATTAGTGGCTCAGAGTGAGAAGAAAGAGCTGGTAACACTGATGTTAAATTAATTGCCCAGACTTCAAATCCAGGCCAAGGCTAGCTGTTTATTACTGTTTTTCTATTTGACAGCCATAGGCTTTGGGTTACTTCACATCAAAGTCTTCTGAGCCTTCTAAATTCTGTTGCATACATTTTCTCAATCAAATGTTCATGGAAGTTGAGAACTTTCATAATTATTTTCACTGAAGAAAACATTTTGGCATATTTCTGTCTAAAATGTTTGACATTTTACTGGTAAAGAGGTGTTGGAGTGGGAGTAGGGTTTTTTTGGTTGGTTGGTTGGTTGGTTGGTTGGTTTTCTTCTTGTGACTAAAGCTCTTTAACCGGTAGAGAAAGTTGTTATTTAAGGCTGGATCCTGGAGTAAAAGATTGCTTTTCTAACTAATCTGGAGTCCTTTTGTGCTTTTTCGGTTTTTCCTTGCTCTGGTTGTTGGCCAAGCGGATGGTCGGACCCTTTGCTCCATTTCTCTGCCGTGTAACATTATGAGATCCCTGGGGACAGGAGTTACGTATAGGGAATGCAGATGTGGGCTGGCTGGCTTTCACTTAGTGCCGACTTGTGTGCCCTTGTAACTCTCTGCCCTGTTTACCATTTACACAGTTGCACGTCATTGTGATGTCTTTCGAAGGGCAGAACTGAATGAAATTCCCTTAAGGGCTTGGCTTCACAGCAGCCGCCTCTGCAGGGGATAGTGGCTCATACTTCCTCCTCACTGCTGCTGCCTACAGAGTCCAGCCCTTGTGCAGGAACTAAGTGAAACACTGCCTACGAGAATGCTGTAATGGCTACATATTTAACTCCCAAGGACCCACTCTTCCAAAAGTCTACTTGGTTGGGAGGAAGACCCCTCCGAATCAGTTGTCTAATGAATTTGGCAGATTCAGAGGCCACGCTGCTGTTTATCTCTTACAGATAGTTCACACGGCATATGTGTTTTTGTTTTGTTTTTAATTGTAGAGAAAACCATGGCGTCCGGCAGCACCAGTGAGGAGGAGCGCAGCCTCCGGGAATGCGAGCTCTATGTCCAGAAGCACAACATTCAGGCCCTGCTCAAGGACTCGATTGTGCAGCTGTGCACTGCACGGCCGGAGAGGCCCATGGCATTCCTCAGGGAATACTTTGAGAGGTTGGAGAAGGTAAGACTGAGAGATGGAGAAGGGGGGGTGTGCTGGGGAGCTGGGGGGTAAGGGTAGGGGTGGGTGGGAGAGATTAAATGATCCTGATGGTTCTTAAATGTAATACAGTAAAGTTTGGTTAATTTGTATAGGAATTTTGACCAAAAGAAACATTGCAAGCAGTTGAAAAGAGAAAGGCTGTTAAAGCAGTTGTAGTAACTTAAAAATTCCTTATTAGTAGAGCTTCGACATTGGAGAATGAATTTGCATGTTATGTTTCCTTGACAAACAGGTTTTCAGACAGAGTTCCGAACAGACAAAATTGTTGTCACATTTTCTAGCAGTTAGATGAAATGAGAGATTCAAGTGAAAGAAGGTATTGAATGTCTCTTCAGCAAAGCGGGGCAACTTGCTAAGCCTTATTCCATTGGTAAAATCAGTGTTGTGATGCATATATGTGTAGCTTTTGTGACTGACCAGAAATTCTGAATCAGGTCTCACACTTTTGTCAAGATTGACAGTTAATCACGAATATGTCTTGACTCTTTCCTCTCTTTAGGAAAAATTAATCCCGTTTGTTGTTTGTTGTCTTTGTACATGTTAGTGGGGCTCAAGTAGATGGCACATGCTTTTTTGAGCAAAATTGGACTTTTCTGCCAAGGGCAGTGCTGCAATTCACCTCCTTCAAGAGAGGATGGATGAGCAAGTGTAGATGACTGACTGTGGTTTGATTAGTTCTGTCTGATTTGCTGCTTAAGATCAGAATGAATTTATAGGTTGTCGTATGTGTTTCACAGGGCTTAGAACTGGTGGGGGGGGGAATGTCTCTAGCCTATGATTATGAAATTGTTTTTAATTCTAAGCAAGAATATTTGTATAATTTCCCATTGATGTAGACAGTTTTTAAATAGAATTTATTAGGAACAGCTTGTACTTTTTAAGGTTTTTTAAAATATGAATGGCTTGGAATCAGAGACTTCTATTAAAGTGTTATTGAAGTTGGTGTTTAATACCATGATTAGAAGAATTATAAAACAAAGCCAAGTGGGCCTCATGAATTTCCCTGTCCTGGAATTGTTGTAGAAATTTTGGTTTTGTTTTATCAAACAACATCTATATAGTTCATGAAAGCAGTGTGGGGGCGGGCTGCCACTGTTCCCTGTTGTGAAATACAGTGCGTTCCTGGAGATCTGGTTCTGAAATGGGTCACTGTAAGGTGATCCCTCTTCTCTTTGGACATCAATAGAAGCCATCAAACGAAGGGATAAAGTTGGTAAGATATTAAGTGTGTGCCTTTTTATAGGGAGTGTTCAATGAATGGTGTTGGTTTCAAAGCCAGTGTTTATTGGTGCACTGCTTAAGTGTTAACCAAAGTTAGCAGCAAGAAATAATTACCAGAATAATTTTTTTGCGTATGAGATTTTTAGATTGTGTTGGTTGATTTCCAGGACTCTTTGATTTTTACTGCCTGTTAAAAGTCTCCCAACTTAAATTTTTTACTATAACTCAGGGATCTTTGTCCACTTACACAATCCTTTAGCTGTAATTAAATATTGATACCTGGTCTATGAAGTGAACTCTACATTTTCAGCCTTCTGAAAATTCAAAGTCATTATTCTTCAGTTCGCTTTTGGGTGCCATGTTGTTGTGTACCATTGAGTCGGATAGCCCATCCTTCTCCCACAGAGCATCTGGTGGATTCAAACCTCTTGCCTTCAGGATTATAGTACAGATTCGTACCATTAGGCCACCAGAGATCTCCAGTGAATAGGAATTGAGCAGTTTACCTAAATTCTTTCAGTTCGGATCTACCAGCATTTCCACGGGAGAAAGATGAGCAGTCTCCTTCCATGCGATTTATAGCTTCTTGAAACCTACAGGAAGGGAGCTCTGGTGGCCTAGTGGCAAGAAGCTGCACTGTAATCCTGAAGGTGCACAGTTCGAATCCACCAGATGCTCCACTGGAGAAGGAGGGGTGGTAATCTCCTGTGCCCGTCTGATCCAGTTTGATGGCAGGAGCGCACGAATGCGCGCACGCACACACACACACGAACGAACACCTGCTGGAGCTGTGAGTTGGTTCCAACCTGACGGGAGTGTTTTTAGGGTCACGTTTCTGGTATCTTCAACCACTTAATAAGAAAGTCACTGAAAAACTTACATTTGCTTCCTTGGAAGCTTCTGTGTGTCATTCCAGACTGTCATCTAGAATTTGAATTAACTTCTAAATTTGCAGAAGTTTATTAGGCCATGCTGTCCTGATGGAGGAATAACGGTGGCTGCACCTCTCTGGCGGTTCCGATCCACCAGTGGCTTCACAGGCGAAAGATGAGCTGTGATTTACAGACTTGGAAACCCAGTGGCAGGTCTGCTCTGAGTTGGTAAAAACTCAATGACAATGGGAGTATTTTTGGATGACAAATAGTTGTCACGTATGTGCCATTTACTGTATGTCACACTCCGCGTACGTTAACTTATTACGTTAAATATATAAGGTGGTGATTGTAACTGTCTCACAAAGGCAGTGAGTAAAACTCAGGGAAATTAACTAACTTGACTGTGGTTATTCGGTGTAGTGGTCGGCTTTGGCTGTGGCAGCATCCAGCTCCCAAATTCTAGTGCCCTACAATAATCTTGGTCAAAGGACTTGGTGCTCAATTTGTCCTGTTTTTATCTTCTTGACTCCCTGTGTCTTTTTTTTTTTTTTTGAGGGGGCTAAGTGGAATAAACAGCCGGTGTATGAATAATACTGTTGTTTAGCTCCATCTCACACACTTCAGGAACGTATGTGAGGGACCAGTGTACAAGGGACCAGTCTTTGGAGGACATTTCTTGGAAGGGTGGAGGGTCAGCACAGGACCCTGAGTGGGATGGATTGACAGAGTAACGGGGGTCATGAGGGTAGGTGGGCCAGAGACACTGAGATTGGCTCCGGATAGGGGAGGGCTCAGAGCTGTATGCACAGGTCTGCTGTGAGTCATAGTCGACTCGATGGCACATAACAACAACAAAAACATATGAAAACATTTTGTTTCAGCGTAGAGAGAATACTTTGTGTGCATTTTTGTAAGCAACGCAAACCAAGTGGTGTGATATGACATGTCCTTTTCTGTTCTTTGGCCAAAGCAAGTCTAGAATCAGTGAGATGGGAAGTTTACTTCACAGGTAGAGAAGAATGGTGAGGACAGTGTTGGTTTGCTTTGTGGTGTTGAATTGTAACCAGCTCATGAATGACCCTCTAGAATGAGTACCTGTGGAAATACTGAGCAGTAAGAACAGGTGTTGAAGCCGTAACTCTAGAACACAATGCTGTTGACCACTAAGTAGCTTTCTTGGTACATGCCAATGCCAACTCATAGTGAACCCATGAACAATGGATCTGAACTTTGCCCATATCCTGCTCCGTGCTCAACATCTCTGATATAGCTGAGTCTTGTTACAGCCCCTGTGTCAATCTATTGCAAGTCTTCCTGACTTTTTACTGCCCCTTCACCTTTCCAAGCATGACGTCCTCCAAGGACCAACCTCGCCTAACAACATTCTCAAAATACATAAAATGAAGCCTCACCATTCTTGCTTCCAAGGAGCACCGTGGCTGCGCTTTGTTCAAGACATAATTGTTCCTTCGCAGTCAAGACCTCAACTCAGTTGAAAAGACTGTCGCTCTTTAACACCTTACAGAGGTCTGTGACAGCCATCTTAACCTGTGTGATACCTCTTTTGATGTCTTGACTACTGGTGGCAAGGGTGTTGATTGTGGAATCAAGCAGGCTGGAAGCATTGACAACTTCAGTCTCTTCTCCATATGTCTGGATTTTGGCCGTTGTCCTAGTGCTGAGGATTTTTGTCTTCTTGGTGTTATGATGTAATCTAAAAGTAGTTGATTTTATGCAGCAAGCATTCCAAGTCTTCACTTTGGGCAACAGGGTTGTGTCATATGCATAATGCAGGTTGATGAGTGTTTCTCTGATTTTGATGCCACATTGTTCATCAGATCTAGCCTGTTGAATGATTTTCTCAGCATACAGAAAGATTCAGTTCTGTGCATTGTTTCCTTTGCACTGTTACGACAGCAGGTTCTTGGTCTAAGTGTAGATTTTGTATACCTTTCGAGCAAAATTAAGTGTCTGAGGCTCCAGTTCTTATTCATGTAAACCATAATCTATTGTGATCCACAGAGTCAAATGCCTTTGCATAGTCAGTAAGACATCGAAAACGTATTTCTTTCTGTTGTTCTCTGCTTTTAGCCAAGATCTGTCTGACATCTGCAGTGATATCCCTGGTGCCATAGTATCTTCTAAATCCAGCTAGAATTTCTGGCAGTTCTCTGTTAATGTATTGTTCCAGCTGTTTTTGGATGATCTTCAGCAAGATTTTACTTTCATTTGATAATAAGGATACTGTTCAGTAATTTACACATTTGATTGGAGCTCCTTTTTTGGGGGGGAATGGAAACATACTCTTCCACCGTTGGCCAGACAGTTGTCTTCCAAATTTTTTGGCATAGACTGATAAGCACATCCAGGGCTTCAGCTGTTGATGGAAACCTTTCTGTTGGTATCCTATCACTTCCTGGAGCCTTATTTTTTGCCAATACCTTCTGTGTAGCATTGACTTCTTTCTTCATCACCACTGTTCTTTATCATATGCTACCTCCTGAAATGGCTCTGTGTCAGCCAGTTCTTTTGGGTATAGTGGTCCTTTGTATACCCTGTCTTTTGATGCTTTCTGGGTCGTTCAAGCTTTTGCCCATAGCGTCCTTCCTTATTGCAACTGGTGGCTTGAATTTGCAAATACCTTCCTTCTTTAAAAAACACAATCAGTGACTATACACATGAACCTCACCTGATGGACCATACAAGAATCAGGTTGACTGCATCTGGAATAAAAACCCTTAGAGAAGCTCAGTGTCAGCAGTCAAAACCAAACCAGGTACTAATGGTGAAACAAACCATCAGTTACTCATGTACACGTTCACACTGAAGCTGAAGAAAAAGACCACAGGAACAAAAGTATGATCTTGAGTCTATCCCTCTGGAATTTAAAAATCATCTCAGAAATAGTTTTGAGACACTGAACACTATAAAGATCAAAGTCCAGATGAGCTGTGGGGTGATAGCAAAGATACCATCTAGGGAGAAAATAAAGACCAAATTGGATGTCTGAAGAGACTGACCACTGCACCAGAACATCGGGAAACTAAAACAAAGGGAGAAAGTGATGAAGTAAAACAGTTAAACCGAAGATTTCAAGGAGCAGAGGGGCAGTGTGAGAAGACAGAATATAACAGAAGGTGTAAAGAGCTAGAGTTTTCTAAAAAAAAAAAAAAAAAAAAGAACGTGCATGGAATCGCAAGTTGAAAGAACTGAAAAAGTAGATAGGATTTTGTTTTTGCTTTAGTAAGTCAAACTGCATGATTCCAAATCCAGAAAGGAGAGTGGGGGGTGTATCCTGTTTCCAAACCATTTCAATCGATACACAAGAACCCATCATTCAAGAGGCTCATTAACATCCTACACTATGCAGATGACAACCTTGCTCACCGAAATTGAAGAGCACCTAAAGGGGTTGTTGCAGAGGTCAGGGACTATACTCTTCAGTATGGATTGAAGCTCAACATTGAGAAGACAAAGATTCTTAACCACTGAGTCATATGGCAGCAGCATTATAGATGGAGAAGAGACTGAGGTCATTAACAATTTCAGCTTGTTTGGGTCTTCATTCGACATTCTTGGCACCAGTAGCCAAGAAATCAAAAGAAGAATTGCTCTGGGGAAAGCTGCTGTCAGGGAACTCTCCAGAGTGCTAAAGAGCAACAGTATCAGTCTAGAGACTCAGGTGTACCTTATTCAGGCCGTAATCTTTGCAGTTACCTGCTATGCATCAGAGAGCTGGACAATGACTAGAGCTGACAGAAGAATTGATGCCTTTGAGTTGTGGTTTGACAGAAGAATTGATGCCTTTGAGTTGTGGTTTTGGAGAAGAGTCTTGAACACAACACGGACTGCCAGGAGTACAAACAGGTTTATCCTGGAGAGAGTGAACAAATATGTTTATCTTGCTCCTTGGAGGGAAGGATTTTGAAGCTCCATCTCACATACTTTGGGCAAATGGCCAAGAGGGACCAATCCCTGGAGAGGGACATCATGCTTGGAAGGGTGGAGGGGCAGTGCAGGAGAGGACTGCCCCGAGTGAGATGGGTTGACACAGTAACTGGGAATGAGGATGGGTTTGTCCGAGGCGGTGAGACTGGCTCAGGAAATGCAAGGTTCAGAGCTGTTGTACACAGGGTCACTATGAGTCTCAGGGGACTCAGTGGCATAGCATATAACAAGTCAGAGAGCTGAAGAATGAGGGGACTGACAGCAGAATATCAGTAACAAGAGGTAGGATAGAACCATGTATCACAGAACATAATAGATGTTCAACTTACTGGTGACCACAGATGGTTAGGATAAGCTTGCCTTCCCAAAAAAAGGCTTGGTGGTATGTCAGAGTTACCTATAAAAAATTACTTAGGTAGACAATATTTCTAAATGTTACTTGAAATTCTCAGCATTTTTGTGATAATGCCTAAAACAAATTTAAGGCTAAGAATTTTTCATTTCTACTCTTAATCTATGGGGAAACTTGAATTTCGTAGTTCTAGGCAAACTGATATTTGAGTGGAAATGGAAGTGTGCTTTCTCAGAGACAGCTCTTTTATTTTTTTAGTAGGCCACATATACACAAATGGTTTGGAATTCTGCGCATTGAAAAAGAAGTAAAAATGAAATGTGTCTCCCCACCCACATTGCTTCCTTAGGGCAGTGAATGTTCTAGAGACAGTGTATACATATGCAGACAAAATTCATACATAAAAAAGCTGCCTTATTTCTTTGGCATTCTGTTGTGAGGGTGGCTCTGATTTACTTAGCTATTCCTAATGATGGCCATTTAGGATTCCAGTGTTTCTCTATTAGAGACTGACTTTATAAAAAGAAAAAAAATCCCATTAACCAGCATAGACTTTGCCATGGCAGACTCAGAAAATGCTTTAAATTACAATTCCTTTAATCTTGAGCTGCATCTGGGTAGTTCCTTCTATTCAGGGCCTAGAATTCTTTCATGATCAGTAGCCTAAAAATTTCTAGTTTACCAGGGTCTCGTTTATTAGATTATTACTGTTACATACATTATAAGTTCCTATTGATAATCTCCGTATCTTCATTTTTGCTACTTTGTAAGTTTGTACTTTTACCTTTATTCCTGAATAGATTATCATAGAAAGCACTAGTACTTACTTGATATAAAATGATGATGATCGCCTTTTACAGATCTCTTAATTTCTTAACAGGAGGAGGCAAAACAGATTCAGAGTCTGCAGAAAGCGAGCATTCGGGCCGACTCACGGGAGGACGAGATCTCTCCTCCTCCTCCTAACCCCGTGGTGAAGGGCCGGCGACGGCGAGGCGCCATCAGCGCTGAGGTCTACACGGAGGAAGATGCCGCGTCCTACGTCAGAAAGGTAGTTTGAGGACTCGAGCACTGGCGAAATGGTTTGGGGACACATAGCTTGGTCTCATTAGATGAATACAGGTGCTGTTTTGAGTAGTAAAACGTGAAACCTGAATGACTTCTTGCATCCTGCCCAGTTTTCTGATGCTGTGAGCAGGTCTCTAACAGTCTGCCTATAACAGATCCCTTAGTAGGATTTCACACCAGGGGCTTGTCTTTGCTTTGCCGTTAGGCAGCTGTCCTTTGTTCTTGAACCGTGGTGTCAGTATTTTACAGCCTTGCCCTTTACCTTGTGCCTTTTAACCTTGTATCCTTGTACCCTTTAACTCGCCATCCTCTGCTTTTTCTTGTGTGGTCCAGTTATTTCCTGTTAACGCCATTAGCCTTACTGGGCACCAGAGTTGTGCTTGCCCTTGGGGCCTGTGCGACTAAAACATGATCACAATTTAATAAATGACTGATTGTCATAAAATATTTAGTTGTATCCTAGAGTAATGACCTTGGTCTAGGTGGTTTTTGTTTGTTTCGTAGTTAACTGGAAACCAGACACTAGCTTTTATGTACTGGGCTGACCATTGACCAGGGGATTAATAAGTCAGTATTGGTTGAGTACTTTGTGGCTTACAGACAATACAAGTGTGTTGTAATGAAAATATTTAAAGCAGTCTTGTCTAAATAACTTAAGGCAGTTTGACATTTAGTTGAAATACAGGTTGTAAATATAAAATGTTTTTGGTTTATGAAATTTGTCATTTGACCTTCACTTCTTTTCTAGGTTATACCAAAAGATTACAAAACAATGGCTGCTCTGGCCAAAGCCATTGAAAAAAATGTGCTATTTTCTCATCTTGATGATAATGAGAGAAGGTAGGTGTGTGGTGTGTTAGGTTCTTGTATTTTCCAATAAAGGTATAGTATAAAACTGTTTTCTCAGCATTGTTAAAACAAGGAACTCATGAAATATTATTACAAATGGATGACCCTGGAGGACATTATGCTGAATGAAATATCTCAGTCACAAAGGGACAAATACTGCATAGGGCCACTGTTGTAAAACAGGACTGACATTGGGGTTGGCGGGGGAGATTGAGAAACGTGATAAATTATGTATATTGCATTGAAACAGATGAGGGAATTGTTTAAAAGTTATATGTGATTAGGTATTATTGTCATATGACCTGAGTCCTGAATGAAGGCTGCATAGTGGAGTGGACTTGGGGGGCAGGGGTTGTGTAACAATGAAAGAATTTTTCTTTTACTTTTCAAAGAGAAGAAGGAACTGGAGGGGAGGGGTGGGCAGGGAGAAAAGTGCAACAATGGAAATCCAAAATCTCTGTAAATTTTCATTAAAATTAATAATAATAAAAATGTTAGCTCTTAGTAATCATTCATCCAATGACCCATCTGGGCCAAAGAGCTGGCACCTTTAATTCTAAAGTCAGTGTTTCAGTTCCACGGAAGAGACAGATGTGAAATGTAACATGAGGCCTTCTCTCCCTTACAGCGATATTTTTGATGCCATGTTTCCAGTGTCTTTTATTGCTGGAGAGACCGTTATTCAGCAAGGTAAAGGCTGCTGTTTCTGTGACATTCAGTGTTATTACGGGGAAATAATGAGAATGCAGGTGGTTTTGGTTTTGTTTATTGAAGCTTTTCCCCCTTGTTTCATTCTATCATCTTCCCATTATATCATTAGCTTCCCTGTTTCTTAAACTAAATTCCTCTGATAGAAATCTTCTAGGGTCCATTATTTTTCTAACTTTTAATAGAATTTTGCTTTTAAAAATTATTAGAGGAAACTCTGCATTTTTGTCCCCCTATAGTATGGAATTTTATAACTCTATTATTGTTCATATCCTTTATGTAGACTTTTAGCCATTTTTAACATAAAACAGGAAGAATTTGTCTAGCAGGTTTTCCAGGTTTTTCTGGAAGGCATTTAAAAAAGAATAAAAGAGAGAAAAAAGAAGAAAAATAAAAATAGGAAATAAGCAGAATAGCCACATTCTTTAACCATCAATTTTTCAACTTCTGTGCTTTGTATTTCTTTTTGTCCTTTCACGTAGAGACTAACATGGAGCTGATCTTTGGGGAATCCCCTTTCTCCTTTTTAGTTACTCAGTGGTTCATAAGTATTAATAAACCGTGTATTTTTGTATATAGTATCATTCTGTTATTTTGCTAGTTAATCATTTATTGGCTGTGATGGTTGACACAGCAATAACATTGTACACATACACAGGAGTGTGTTTGTATTTTTCAGGTAATAACATATAAAATGAATCGATCACAAGACTTTAAAAATACATTGCTGTATTTTTCACAGAGCCACTATAAAATAGAGGGTTTTTAACATTTTAATTTGCTGGTTTTCACTTACGTTTCTAACTTTTTCACTTCTCTCTCTAGGTGATGAGGGAGATAACTTCTATGTGATTGATCAAGGAGAGATGGATGTAAGATTTAATAATAATTATATTGATAATCTTAAGAGTCCATTTTTGTTGTTGGTTTTGTTGTCGCTGTGCCATGTAGGGAGCATGAACAGTGTTTCTCAAGGGGTCAGATTTACAGCCCTTGTGTTTCACATCCCACCAGTGTTTGCATCTGCACCTTTTGGCAAGTAGTTTAATGAGCCACAGAGGCTTTGAAAGGTGCCTTTTCTTGTTGGATATGCAGCTCAGAAGATAGATAGCTAGAGCAGTGGTTGAGATGTGTGTTGTGTAGAGTGGCACAAGCCCTAGGCTAGATCAAGCCCCCAGTGGTTCTGAGACTTGGCATACCTTTCTGTACTGGCTAAGTCTTATATACCGTGAAATAGGCATATTTGAAGAATTGAGAAAATTCAGTGATCTGATGCAAGTAATATATTTAGCACAGTACATGTGTACCGTTTTCTTACTAGATTATACTCATTTCTTCTCATTTTGCCCTTCTGTGTTCCCAAAGTTTAGTATATTTTATTTTTTAAACAAAGTTCAGTATCCTGACCCCTTAAGAAGTTGTGGAAGTATTTTATCCTCATGTGTTTGTGTATGTAGGCAAAACTCGGCTCTTTGACATCATTTGTCTTTTAGGTCTACGTCAATAATGAATGGGCAACTAGTGTTGGGGAAGGAGGGAGCTTTGGAGAGCTGGCGCTGATTTACGGGACTCCGAGAGCAGCCACTGTCAAAGCAAAGACAAACGTGAAGTTGTGGGGTATTGACCGGGACAGCTACCGAAGAATCCTTATGGTGAGAGCCCATGCTTTTGTGGAGTGTCACTGATAGTTCAAGAACACTGTTACTAAATTAAGATGAAAATGTAATTCTTCATAAGAGAATGCTTTGTATTAAGCCCTGTCTAGCATTATTTCTTATACCCTTTGAGATGGTGATCATTTCAAGCAAAAGTTTGGCCAGAAATAACATGGTAAACAAAATGTGATGTATATATAATAGCTCATGTTTGGAAGTCTGTCCATTTTCTTATCTGTTACAGATTTGGGAACAACTGTTGCTCTTAAAATATAAAGTTATTTGTAGCCATCCAGAAGTAATCTAGTTACAGAAAGTAGATATTTAGTTGATTTCTGAAAGTAGGTTATCAGTAATGCAAATATGTATCTGCTCACTAAGGAAATAAATACTAAACTTTCTAGAACAGTTGTCTGGTGATGTAGTCAGACTGAGAACTTGGTGCAAATTTATGGAGTAACTTTGGAAGTTTAAGGTCCAACTAGTTGAAATGCTAGTCATCCTCAGTGTGTGGCTGGCTGAAAGTACGTTGTCTATGTAACTTGGACTGTTTTTGTGTAGAGATTTGTGTGTGCATGCATGCCTATACGGTTAGGCCCTGAGTGTGTGAACATGATCCATTCCTGTGTCTTAATTTGTAGGTCTCTTGGATCAGGTGCTTATGGTTCTTTAGTGCATGGAAAGGCTTGAAGTCTTGTCAGTGATTTAAAAGCTCCACATGCAGCAAGTAAGGTGATTATGATGAATTTGTCGTAAGTAGGTGTTGGTTCAGTCATTTTGAAGCAGGGCTTCGGACAGTTGTCTTCCCAGTTAGTTCAGTCACGGCTGAGGAGCCTGAAAGATGGTGGATCCCACCCAGAGCATGCTGGCCCTGCTGCCGGTGCTCCAGCCATATGATCTGTTGGGCTCCTGAAGGACATCGCTGCACCTCTCCTGTGTCCCCTTTTCAAGGGCTTCGACCTGTAATTACTCCCATTCCAGTTACCCTAATAGTCACCCAAGTTGTAAAGATTATGAGTGTCTTCCTTTTATGCATGACGGAACATGTCCAAAGCCCTGCTTTAAAGGACTAGTATGTTGTTGGTAGGTTGAGTGTTTATAGACCAAGGACTGCTCATATATGCATGTAGACTGGGTTTCTCTCATTTCCCTAATAGGTGTAACTGTCTTTGTAGATGAGACAACGTAGTGTGTGGTTGTGGACCCCTGATCCCCGCCAAGTGGCAGTTTCCCTTTGTCTGTAGTTGCAGTTAAGGGAAGGACTCTGGCCTGAGAATATGTTTAGCTGTTATTTGGATCTTTTTTGGAAGGCTGATAATTTGCTGTTTAAAATGTCACTATTGCTGCACTGCTGGGAAGCTTGAGGACCGTTGGCTTGTTTTTGGTAGGATCTGAGGGCCTTTTAGAGAGTTGAGCACAGAATAATTGATCACCACAACATGAGATAAAATCCTCTCCCCTCAGGAAGCAAGTTCTTAATTCAGGATGAGGCGGTATTGTTCTCCTGTACATGTGTCATAACTGACTCACTGGCACCTAATGCTGACAAAGGAACGTTCTGGATTCTGTAAATAGTAGCATTTTTATCGTGTTTTTGTTCACAGCATCATGAAATCTTTGCACTTTTTTGAAATAAGATTTTTGTTTGTTCTTTATAGGGAAGCACACTGAGAAAGCGGAAGATGTACGAGGAGTTCCTTAGTAAAGTGTCTATTTTAGGTGAGTTTTGGGGGAGATAAGGGAGAAATGTTGAACCGAAGAGTTCGTGATACCGAAGCAGAATATACTGTTTCAACAAACTATCCTTGTTATTGTAACTTGTGTTTTTGTTTGCTGATAGTAGTGAAATACCATGTTTGACGGAGTGGAAGCTTTGCCTAAGTAGAAAGTAATTTTAAGTATCTTGAATTTGCTAATAGTGTGTGAAAACCCTCTTCATGAAAAATGATGGGACTTGAGAAGAGCCTGGAGTTACGTGTGCTCTTAGCTCCTCTTGAAGGGACAGGAGAGCTGCTGGTGTACTGACAAGGCATTCTCTCATCGTCACCTGCAGGCCGCCTCCTTGTTTTTATAT